GTACTTTTTTTTTTTCCAGTACTGGGACTTGAACTCGGGGCCTAAGCCCTGTCCCTAGGCTTCTTTTGCTCAAGGCTAGCACTCTACCACGTGAGCCATAGTGCCACTTCTGGCCTTTTCTATTTATGTGGTACTAGGAATTGCTAAGCAAGCACTCTACTACTATGCCACATTCCCAACCCTAGGCCTGTGCTTTTAAACAAGGGCTTGGCACAGCATTATACAGGCAAAATGTAAATAATGAATGTCTGACAGTTTTTCCCAATAACACATATGGAATCTAAAAGAACACATAGAATTCTTATTCATTTGATGTCACTTCTTGATAAAATTTAAAGGCAAAATGTAAGCTTTTATATCTTTTTCGGTTTTAAAAAAGTATCTTTCCAGAGAGAAAAAGATTCTCTGTGCATTTTAATTAATGCACTTAAAAAAATCTAAAATGAAGTACTTTGATACATCTTTTTGTTTTCTTCCTTCCTCTCTCTCTTTTATATTTTATATTTTTATTTTTGTTGGTTGAGGGGCTTAGACTCAGGGCCTGGGCACTGTCCCTGAGCCTCTGTGCTCACAACTAGTGCTTTACCACTTGAGCCACAGTGTCACTTCTAATTTTTGTGTGTTTAATTGGAGATAAGAGTCTAACAGAGACTTTTCTGCCCCAGCTGGCTTCGAACTGCAATCCTCAGATCTCAGCCTCCTGAGTAGCTAGGATTACAGAGGTGTGCTACTGGCTTATATTGGCTTTAAAAATTAATTTCAAAAGGAAGAAAACATCTGGGCACTGGTGGCTCATGCCTGTAATCCTAGCTACTCAGGAGAGCTGAGATTGCTGTTCAAAGCCAGCCTGAGTGGGGAAAGTCTGTGAGATTCTTATCTCTAGTTATTCAGCAAAAAGTCAGAAGTGGAGCTGTGGTTCAAGTGGTAGAGCGCTAACCTTAAGCAAAAAAGCTAAGGGAGAGCACCCAGGCTTGTATTCAAGCCCTAGGAACTGCTTCCCACGCCCCCCCCCCCTCACCTCCCCCGCCACCCATCCCTGAGCCAAAACAACCCAGTGACAAATTCATTTATATAAAAATATTTTCTGTAACAGGAGAAATACTTGCTGTAGCTTCGTGAATGAAGTCTGTGGCCTAGCCTTTCATTTTAAGCTAGCTTCTCTAAGAGATTTATTTCAAATGTTATTACTACGTAACTTACAGAATGAAACAACATGGCTAATAACTGGATATTTTAGCTGCAGGATCTAAAGTTTACTCTGCCGAATCTTCCAGCCCTGGGGGCACTAGCTGGCTGCTCATTTATTTCACCATATTTAAATCAATCGTGGGAAACAATAAATCGTGTGTCCATCTCAAGTTGGCATCTCAAACAGCAGAGACTTACACAAAGATTTCACAGCACTCAATTCTTCTTTGTTCTTATCTCATGCAGAGAATACAACTAGTGCTTAGTTGTAAAATGACATTTTTTTTTCCTGCTTTCTCATTAAATCCTCTGTCTTAGCATCGAGTCCTTAAGCCCAATGTTTTCAGCTTCTGGAAAATTCCTACTTAACTTGCTTGAAGGGAATTCTTTTGTCTGGGCATCGGAACAAGATAACCGACTTAATCTTTCTCGTAACACGTGAGTCGCCATGTATCATTTTAATCTGCAAACCACAAGGGTTGAGCACTGGCACATGCTGATTTTACTTTTCTATGAGAAAGTGACTCCCTGGCTCAATGATGGATTGCTTGTTCTCTTGAAACAACAGTCAAGATGGTGAATGCCCCGGGGTGGTAGACAGAGTGTGCAATGAGAACTAGGCGAAGCTGATGGCCCGGTTCAAGTTCACCTGACAAAGCTTGGAGCAGTCTGCAAGCAGCATTTGAGACAGGATTATTCACACTTGCGTTATATATCTGAATGCATTTTCTCCTCGTGCAGCTGCAGACTCGCTCACACCGAAGCTTTAGGCACCATAATAAAGAGATTTATTTTTTTTTTTCTCCCTCTCACTCTCTTTTGCTTCTTACATTTTACACCTAGTTTCTAAGGGACTCTGTTCAGGCACAGGACATCTGTATATCCCAAATTGTAGCACACATATCACCTTCAAAACAATGTGGTACTCAAAGAAAATAACAGCCTGATGTTTTTTTTTTTTTTATCTCTGAAGGGATAAAGATTAAATCTCGTGCAGAGGAACAAAATTCCTGAAACCCAGCTCTTAAAAGATTGTCATTTCACAGGGTCCTGCACGCCAGTAAGAAAAGAACAAGATTAAAAAAAAAAAACACTTCAAATTAGAAAAATTAGGATCATTGAATTTTCGGAAGAATTCTTTGAAAATTTTCCCATATCCATTTGGCGATGGAGGGATGAAGTTAAAGTTGGAATACAGAACAAGTTCATAAGAGAGAGAAAAATCGTAGTTTTTCTTTCCTTCTATCTGTAGATCTGTAGATCTCCACCACCTGGTTGTGGAATGATTTTCTGAATCTCAGAGAGCTCAGACGTTCTTTTTTTTTTTTTTTTACTGCCTCTCACCTTCTGCAGTAAGTTAGGAAGTGAATTAGCATTAATAGAGCATCTAAAATGCATAATATCATGCACAGCATGATTGTTGACATCTTCCTCATTAATCATTTATTCACTATTTATTTACTTACTTATTTACAGAAGTACTGGGGTTTGTACCACTGAACTATAACTCTCAGCCCTAATTCTGCACTGATTGTTTTAGTGTAGCTTGATGCCACTCACACCTCCAGACCTGGAAGTCCTGTGCTGTCCTCTCCTCTCCCCTCTCCCCTCCCCTCCCCTCCCATCCCATCCTTTTCTTTTTCCTCTTCCTTTCCCTTCCTTCCTTTCCCCCTTCCCTTATTTTTCTTTTGCCTTATTCCTTATTTCTTTCCCTTTCTCTTCCCTTCCCTTTTCTTTTTTTTGTGCTGATACCAGGGCTTGAACTCAAGGCCTCAAGCTCTTGCTCAGCTGGCCCTTTACCACTTGAGCCACACCTCCAGTTTTGGCTTTTTGATGGTTAATTAGAAGATAAGAGTCTCTCAAATTTGTCTATCTATAATGACTCTGAACCAGGATCTTCAGCTCTTAGCTTCCTGTATTACTAGGATTATAGGTACGAGCCAGAATGCTCATAGCAGAATGTCTAGAATGGCTTAAAACATTGATGCTCCTGACCCTAGCCTCCCCTGTGGCTGGGGTGACAAGCGCCGGACCATACTCAGCTACTGGTTGAGAGAGGATCTTATATGTATGCCTGAGTTGTCCTTAAACCAAGATCCCCTACTCTTTCTAGGTAGCTGGGACTACAGGCTGAGTCACTGGTGCCCAGCACATCCATCTATTTAAACAAAAATGGACTAAGCATCAACCATTAAGCAGTCATACTAGGATATGAAAAGACACAGGCCCCAGAGCAGGATCCTGAGGCAGAAAACAATCTTGAACAAACAAGTGATCCCCACTTGCTGGCATTCAGGCCCCTTTAGTCTCCCCCAAGGTTGATTGGTGTGAACAACAATGTGAAGTGATAGCATACTACTTCAGTGACGAGGCTACGAAAGACTTAGGACTTTTCATTCTGGCAAAAGTCAGCTGTCTATGTACATATGACCATATAAGATGATGTTAAGTGAAATGAACCCCAAGACAGGGACACAAGTGGTTTTTTATTTCATGCTATTGTTTTTTTAATATACCTATAATGTACTATGTGGTATTTTTGTTTCTTTTGTATGTTCTTCTCCCATGGTATAACCCCTGTTTTCACTGTATTTGATGTCGGTGCCCTGCATCTTGAATATACATTTTTCCTAATTTGGGGAGGGGAAGGGAAAAAACAAAATGCTTAAATAGGGATACAGGTTGACCCATTGTAACAATGAGATGTACAAGACACTATGCTGAAAACCAACTTTACAACTTGGGAGGGGGGGCTGTGGGAGGGAGGAGTTGGGGAGGTGGAGAGGGAAGGGATGGTAGAGGAAAACAAAGGAGGAGGTAACAATGCTTGATAGGAAATATACTCACTACCTTACTCATGTAACTGTAACCCCTCTGTACACTATTTTTACAATTTTAAAAAAACATGTATTTTTTAAAAAGTCAACTGTCATGTCCTATGGACAGGCCATGTGATGAGACACGGAGGCTTCTCACCCCCAGTCAGCAAGAAGGAGGTAGGAGAGAGAGAGAGAAAGAGAGAGAGAGAGATTGAGAATGAGAGAGAGAGAGTGAGCACAAGCAAGAGCAGTCCTGGCTGAGCCTTGAGATGACCAAAGCTCCTAATATCATTTTATCAAAGATTCGGTATCAGAGCCATACAGCTAGGTCAACTCTCAATTTCTTTCTTTTTTCCCTTTCCCTCCCTCCCTTCTTTCCTTCCTTCTTTCCTTCCTTCCTTCCTTCTTTCCCTCCCCCTCTCTTTTCTCTGTGCCAGTACTGGGGCTTGAACTCAGGGGGCCTGGGATCTGTCCCTTAACTTTTTCACTCAAGGCTAGTGTTCTATCACTTGAGCCACAGCTTCACTTCCTGCTTTTTGCTCATTAATTGGACATGAGCGTCTCATGGACTTTCCTATCCTGGAATGGCTTCAAGCTCCTGAGTGGTCAAGATTACAGGCCTGAGCTCCTGGCACATAGCTTTGCCCTTCTTTTCCCTTTCTGCTCTGCTCTGCTCAAGATTCTAAACTTGAGAAATAATTTTTCACACAGTAGTAAATAAATAAGACAAAAGGTAATTGCAATAAATTACTGTTGATAATATGATGCCCATTAAAAATGCCTGAAGTGGAGCTATGGTTCAAACAGTAGAGCTCTAGACTTGAATGAAAAAGATAAGGGACAGCACTCAGGCACCTGTGAGTTCAAGACTCAGTACTGGCACACACACACACACACACACACACACACACACACACATCCTAAACCCAGATATAAAGCACCAATGGTATGATAGTATAAAATTTGACAGATTATGACCAAAGCTCTCAAACCTCAATGGCATGAACAATAAAAAGTTTATTTCTCAGCAGAGCTTTGTATTTGTCATGGTCAGATGAGGCTCCTCTCTGTTCTTCTCCAAGTTGTCTTCACTATAAATGGAGGTTTACCATGGCTGCCTCCTGACACACTCTCCTTAACCATGGCAGCAGGAAAGAGACACTGTGTCATGTTCTGGAAGTTCAATGAGGCCTGACATTGACACTCATCAGTTGCTCTCAGAAACCACTGGCCACGGAAATGGAACTGTGGCTCAAGTGGTAAAGTGCCAGCCTTGAACAAAAATGTAAATGAAAGCTCAAGACTCTAAGGGTAAGCCACAGTTCTCACCATCCACCACCCTCAGCCAAATCATGGGCCAGAATGAGCCCATGGCCTGTCCCTGCCTCAAAAGACCAGGCGATGCCATGTCCCATGTCCCTGGAAGGAGAGAGAGCCTGATGCTGGTGAGCACCAGACTATCACATGACCCATGCAGTCTATGGCTTGCCGTGTTTTTCTATTGCAGGCCTCGTCAGAGAAAGGCGATGGCATATTTCATTACATTTTTCATGCTGGTTCTTAAAGAAGTAAAAAATTCCTTTCTTTCCAAAATTGGTCGTGACGTCTTTCTGATCAACAGAGTGAATCTGGGGATCTGTGAGGTAAATGAGGCCTTTGCCATTACCAGTCACCCAGCCTGAAAGAGAAAAGAATATATTCGTCTATAAATGGTAGCCACACATTTTAGAGGCAAAGAAAGAAAAATGCACACACATGCTTAAAGAGATTCTTTAAAATTTGGGTTTATACCGTGGTTTAAGTTTAGTACATTACTCTTAGAAGTTTTGGGTTGCCTTTAAAATTTTTAAGCTTAAGAAGGAGAATTGATTTTGCCACATTATATTTGTCATTTATGATCATCTCAAGGAATTAGTAGCAATAGAATGCACTTAGAATAATGATTAATATCACAATATTGAGCCGGGCACTGGTGGCTCACGCCTATACTTATAACTACTCAGGAAACTGAGATCTGAGGATTGGGATTCAAAGCCATCCCAGGTGGGAAAGTCTTTGAGACTCTTATCTCTGATTAACTACCAGAAAACCTGAAGTGCAGCTGTGGCTCAAAGTGGTAGAGTGCTAGCCTTGAGCAAAAGAGCTTAAAGACAGTGCCCAGACCATGAGTTCAAGCCCCATGACTGACCAAAAAAAAATCACAATAGAATACTTATATCACAGTTTGGAAGCTTCTTTAGTGCTTTATCTGTCCTTAATTTATATATTCATCCATTCATTAGCGGGTATTCACGAAGTGTAGACACTGTCCCAACACAGTGCTGCTGGTGATGGATATGCAGTAGTAACAAGCTAGTCAAACATCTTTGTACTCACTGAAATAAAGTTCTTGTAAAGTGGAGCAGATCAATAAACTATAATCAACTAAAACATAATGTGACAGATTATAAATGCTATAGATGGAAGCAAAGTGGTCATTATTAGAAATAATTATAATAAATCTCATTTGTCATTTACATAAAGGGAAGAATGTTGGTTAGTAGGAATTCTTACGAGCTAGAGGCCAGTGGCTCACCCCCATAATCCTAGCTACTTAGAAGGCTGAGATCTAAGGATTGTGGATTGAAGCCAACCCTGGGATACAAATCAAGAGACTCTTGTCTCCAATGAACCAACAAAAAGATAGAAGCAAAGGTATGGTTCAAGAGGTAGAGCACCAGCCCTGAGTAAAAAAGCTAAGTAATAGTGAGAGGCTCAAAACAATTCTAAATAGAATTGTAAAAACTCAAATATTAATGTAGATATTTTTTAAAAGTCAGACTTAAGTATACATAGTTTTCTATTTCATAATGATCTCAATTATGATACTCTGTATCATACTTGAAATAAGAATAAAGGGCTACAGATTAGAAAAAATGGATTTAAAAATACAATAATAGGAAATAATAGGACTCCCTTTCTCCCCCCCTCCTCCACTCCCCACTAAATTATGCGATACTTTATAAACTTGTAAAAGTTAGACTTTTTTAAAAAATTAAGGGAATCATTTGCTACCTGCAAGAAAATCAATTGATTCTAACAGAATCCTACACACCAAATATTCTATTAAATAATGATTAATGAAGCTAATTATATATAAGGACTACTCAAAATAAATTGATATTCAAAATAAAATTCACAGTTTTACATACCCTGTAAATCAACCACAACATCTCTGTGATTAGAAAACTCATAAGAAAAATGGCCATAAGCCAAGCCATAATCTGTGGCTTTGTATTCTCTTTTTACCACTTTTGTGTTATTTGATAACTTTACAAAGTCTCCCAGTATATAAGGTTCCACGGTGATACATCCCTTTATTGTTTTGTCTTCTAAAAGCTGAAAAACAAAAATGAGATGTAGTATAGCATCATGGTTAAACTCCTGGCCTTTGGAGTTGAGTAGATCTCCATTTGAACCTATGCTCTGCCACTTAGTTGCTTTGTTATCTTAGACTTCAATTTCCTTATCTATGTAGTCAGTAAAATACTAATAATAGCTACCCTTTAGGTCTTTGAAAGGATAATATGTGAAAATGCATGTAGAGTTAGAACTGAATAATGATAAATTAGATAGGTGTTTGTAGCTTAGCACTTGGTTGCAAAGAACGGGGCAAACAGATGTAAAATGAGATTTATGTGGCACATCTCTTCCTGAAAGTTCAGTGATAATACAACAAAGTGAATAATGAAGAATAATAACTTGACCATGTGGGGCTGGGAAGGTGGCTCAGTGGTAGAGCGCTTACCTTGCATGCATGAGGCCCTGGGTTCGATTCCTCAGCACCACATAAGCAAAAAGAAAAAAGTCGAAAGTGGTGCTGTGGCTCAAGAGGTAAAGCGCTAGGACAGTGCCCAGGCCCAGAGTTCAGGCCCCACAACTGGACCCAAAAAACAAACAAACAAACAAAAACAAATAACTTGACCATGTGAGATAAGATACCAGGATCAACTGATATTCAAATGTTCAACTTGGAAGATACAAAACGCATTATGGGGACATAGGGTCATAGTTCACACTCATCTGTCTAAGGAGATAGTGCTAATGAAGCTGAGGAAGGAATTCAGAAACTGAGTTATTGGGTTTTATCACAATGGTGGTGGATGCAGACAGTTTATGGATAGAAATCTAATCTAGCATATGTGTATAGGCCTGTTTAACCATTTCATTTCCTAAAAACCTCACCTGTAAAGCCAGGTGCTGGTGGCTTACATCTGTCATCCTAGCTACCCGAGAGGCTGAGATCTGAGGATAAGGATTTAAAGCCAGCCCAGGCAGAAAAGTCCATGAGATTCTTATCTCCAGTTAGCCACCAGAAAACCAGAAGTAGAACTATGGCTCAAAGTGGTAGTGCGCTACCTTGAGAGAAAAATCTAAGAGCCAGCACCCAGGTCTTGAGTTCAAGACCTGTGACTGACAAAAAAAGAAAAAGAAGAAAAGAAGCCTTACCAGTAATACTGCAGATGGGATATAGAATATTTGTGTTGGAATCTTTTGTTCATAGAGTCTCTTGTTAAATTCTGTCACATAGTGCTGTGCTGTCATCTGCCGCTCCACATCAATAAAATGGTGCCAGAGCTCCTTCTGCTCTTTGTATTCTTTCCCAACATATCTATGGATGGAGAAATCCACACAACACAATATGAAAGGGGTCTTCTTTATTATAGAGTAAAAGAGAGAAGACAAAGTTATGCAAAAATGCTTGCTGTCATTTCCCCTGCCTTATTCAAATCAATATTAGTTATTGTGACTCGCAATTCAAATAATTCTGCAAGGGGCACCTGGACCGTGCAACACACCCAATACTAACTGTCCCAGAAAGATATGGCTGATGGAGGGAGGGTGTGGCCTGGGGCAGGTGGCTCACACCTGTAATCCTAGCTATTCAGGAGGCTGAGATCTAAGAAATCAGGTTTGAAGCAGCCTAGCCAGAAATGTCCATAAGACTTTTCCAGATTCTTCCTTTCAGTAGAAAGGCTGGAGTGGAGGTGTGGCTCAAGTGGTAGAGCAGCAGCCTTGAGAGCAAAAGCCAAGTAAGAGTGTAAGGCCTTGATTTCAAGCCCCATTATAGGCACGGGCATGCACAAGCACACACACGTGTGCACACACACATACACACACAGACAAAGTGGGCACCTTATGTCTGCCACATTTTGCTGGTAAGCTACGGGCATCAGCACGGAGCACGCTTGGACTTTGAAGCCAGGTCTTTCTCATTGAAACACATCATTGAGTCAATCTGCAGTCTTCCTCCAACCCTCCTTCAAGTGATTATTTCATTCCTCCAAATTCTTATTTCCCACAAACCCCTATTATGGGCACAACATATGCTAGTTCTGAGTGGTGTGTGTGTGTGTGTGTGTGTGTGTGTGTGTGTGAGTAGTCCTCGGGCTTGAACTCAGAACCTGGGCACTGTGTCTGAGCCTTTTTGCTCAAAGCTACCACTTGAGCCACAGCTCCAACTTTTTGGAAGTTCATCGGAGGTAAGTCTCCTAGTTTTTTCTGCCAGAGCTGGCCTCAAACCACAGTCCCTGATCTCCTGAGTAGTTAGGATTACAGGCATGAGCTGCTGGGGCCTGGCCCTAATAGTTTTTAAAGAAAGCAGGAGATATACTTCAAGAGCTTATAACCCAGTTGGAGAGAGAAGATACAAGATGAAGTAAAACAATAAGTACTATAGTGAAGTTCAGACTTTCTATAAGCTGGTGTGAGTTTATGAATGATAACACATGTGATAGAATGACCTCCTAAGGTCAAAGGAAACTGGCATATGGACCTCAGTGAGAGCTAAATCACACCAGAAGTTTCTGATTCCAATATGCAGTGGGATCTAAGATGGTTAGTCTCTGAAGATCAGACAGGAAATATGACAGTGGAGTCTATAAAGGAGGAGTCTAAGTGGCATCAGAAAGCTGTGGAGGAGCGGCTGGGAAGGTGGCTCAGTGGTAGAGCGCTTGCCTCGCATGCCTGAGGCCCTAGGTTCGATTCCTCAGCACCACATAAGCAAAAAGAAAAAAGCCAGAAGTGGCACTGTGGCTCAAGTGGTAGAGCGCTAGCCTTGAGCTGAAGAGCTGAGGGACAGCGCCCAGGCCCAGAGTTCAGGCCCCACGACCGGAACCCCCCCCCCCCAAAAAAAAGAAAGCTGTGGAGGATTAAATGTCCTTAGAGTAATTCAGTACTACCATAGTTCGCTCTATGTGGAAAGTCCCTGAGACCCATAGAGGGAAAGAACCAATTCAGAACTTTGCTTTGTTGATGGAGGCCCAGAGTTGTGTAATGGTACTGATGCATTTCTTCAACATGCTGCCAGTGGAATTGAGTCTAGGTAGGGGATGACCACTGTGAACACGGGACCATTCATTCTTCCACTTGGCTCTTTGTTTTCTGAGATTGTTCTATTTTTTCTTTGGTGAAGATCGGTTACTGGTAAACTCTTGTGGTCTGTTTTTCCCTCCTTTTAAACAGCAAATGTCTTTATTTTGTCTTCTGTGAAAGACAGTTGCAAGTACATGACTTCCATTATTTCAGACTTCAGCTGTTTCTTCTCAGAAATCAGCTATATGTCTAATGGATATTTTTTGTATGCAATCTGCTTTTGTTATGCTTTATTAACTGTTTTAAGATGGTTTCTTTATCCTTCATAGTCTGGTTTGACTACTATGTACTGCACCTAAGAGTGGACTTATGATTTCCCTTCCTTCTTTTCCCTCTCCCTCCTTCCCTCCCTCCCTTCCTCCCTTCCTCCCTCCCTCCCTTCCTTCCTTCCTTCCTTCCTTCCTTCCTTCCTTCCTTCCTTCCTTCCTTCCTTCCTTCCTTCCTCCCTTCCTCCCTCCCTCCCTTCCTTCCTTCCTTCCATCATTCCTTCCTTCCTTGCTTTTTCCTTCTTTCCTTCCTTGCTTCCTGTTTGTCCTCTGTTTCGTTTCCATTCCTACTTTCCTTAGGACTCAGTGTGATTCTTGTATTTGAAGGTGTTATTTGGCAATTCTGGAAAATGACCCTAAGTTTTCTATTTAGGTAGTGCTTTTGTTCTATTTGCTCTGTTATCTTCTTCTAATCAGACACTCTATTCTCTGAGTCTCTTATTCTCAATTTATTGCTTATTTCAAACCCTCCTTGGAAGTTTCTCAGCATATCCATTTCCTAGGGAAAATGATGTATGACAAGTGATGTATGACAAGTACACAAACTTGTCTTAAACAATACAAATGGATTTTCTTACAGTTGTAGAGCTGGATGTTCATATCTATGTGTTAGTGGGTTCCATGTGTCCTCTGGGGTCACTAAGGAAGGATCTGTTCAGGCCTTTCTCCTAACTTCTAGAATTTCCTTGTTTTATGCCAGCATAACTATAATTGTCACATGATAGTCACCCTGTCTGCATGCTTTGCTCCAAATTGGTTTATATATATATATATATATATATATATATATATATATATATATATATATACCAGTTATGTATACCCTAGTAAGGTTAAGGATTCACTCTAATTTGGTATGACCTTATTTTAACCACATCTGACATGATTCTATTTCCACTTAGTATTGGGAACCTTATTGTTTGTTTGTTTTGTGTCAGTTGTGGGGCTTGAACTCGGGGCCTGGGTGCTGTCGCTGAGCTGTTTTGCTTAAGGCTAGAGCTTTGCCACTTTGAACACATAGTGCCACTTCAGGTTTTCTAATGGACATGAGTCTCATGGACTTTCCTGCCCATCTGGTTTTGAACTGTGAGCCTCAGATCTCAATTTCCTGAGTAGCTAGGTTTACAGATGTGAGCCACTGGTGCCTGGCTTGGTTTTGGGAATTTAACACATGTTAAAATTTAAACACATGGAGGGATGCTACTCCATTGTCATGCTTCATTCTACCACTTACATATGTAAATCCTGGGAAAGTTTCTTAGCATCTCTGCATCTCAGTTTCCTCATTCATAAGTGGGGACAATAATAGCACCTAACTCAAAAAGTTGAGCAAGTATTAATTACATAGTACATACATCACTTCGAACAGGGCTTGGTACCTTGCCTGTGCTCTGTCGTGTGCTACTGTTATTGTAATAATCAACTTTTAAAGAGATATGTTTACTGTTTACCAAGAGTCTACTAAAGGGGTGACTTTGATCAAGAAGTACTTAACACTTAGATGGACACAATAAATTATAATCTACTTGTTCAATCCTTTGAAGTTCAGAAAAAAAAAAACAAGACTCAATCATTTTTTTCTTCCCTTTTTTTGTCTTATATTATTTGGATTTAGGTAAAGAATAAGGTCAACAGCCAGGTGCCAGAGGCTCATGCCTGTAATCCTAGCTATCAGAAGGCTGAGATCTGAGGATCATGGTTCAAAAGCCAACCTGGGGAGGAAAGTCCATGAGACTCTTATCTCCAAAAAAACCAGAAGTGGGGCTGTGGCTCAAGTGGTAGAGTGCTAGCCCTGAGCTGAAGAACTGAGGGACAGCACTCAGGCCTAGAGTTCAAGCCCCATGACTGACAAAAAAAGAAAAAAAAAAAGAATAAAGTCAACTTCAAAAGTTTCAGTAAGCTGGGTGCTGGTGGCTAATGCCTGTAATACTAGCAATTCAGGCAGCTGAGATCTGAGGATTACAGTTTGAAGCCAGCCTAGGCAGGAAAGTCTGTGAGACTCTTATCTCCAATTAACTACTCAGGAAGAGCTGGAAGTGGTGCTGCAGCTCAAGTGGTAGAGCGCTAGTCTCAAGTACAAAAAGGCTCAGGGACAGTGCTCAGGCTTTAAGTTCTAGGCCCCCCTCCCCCCAAAAAAAGTTTCAGTGAATAAGTCATTTCTTTATTTATTTTTGACTTATAAGTCTTCAAAATTTATAAATAGTACAAAACTAGGCCTCACTCAGGTGGCCAAAAGCTGAGGATTGTAACTGGAAGCCAAAGAGGCAGGAAAGTCTTTTATTTCCAGTTACCCAACAAAAATCTGGAAGTGGAGCTGTTGCAAAAGTGGTAGAACATCAATTTTGAATGATAAAGCTAAGGGACAGAGCATAGGCCCTGAGTGCAAGCCTCAGTGCTGGCACAAGAAAACAACAACAACAACAAGCCAAACAAACAGAAATAAATGAAAACAACAAGGGCTGGGAAGGTGGCTCAGTGGTAGAGCGCTTGCCTTGCATGCATGAGGCCCTGGGTTCGATTCCTCAGCACCACATAAGCAGAAAAAGCTGGAAGTGGCGCTGTGGCTCAAGTGGTAGAGCGCTAGCCTTGAGCTGAAGAGCTGAGGGACAGCGCCCAGGCCCAGAGTTCAGGCCCCACGTCCAGCCAAAAAAAAAAAAAAAAAAAAGAAATAAATGAAAACAACAACAATAAAAGCTAGGGCTCAATCCCAAGGACGGTATCACTAATATTCAGGTGAGTTGTTATTTAACAATTTTAACCAGCCAAGCTCACGCCTGTAATCCTATCTACTCAGGAGGCTGAGATCTGAGAATAGCAGTTCAAAGCCAGCCCTGGTAAGGAAACTCTGTGAGACTCTTATCTCCAATTAACCACCAGAAAACCAGAAATAGTGCTGTGGCTCAAGTGGTAGAGCACTTGCCTTGAGCTGAAGAGCTGAGGGACAGCGCCCAGGCCCAGAATTCATGACTCATGAACCGACCAAGACAAAAAAAATTAACCAAGAATGATGGCAAAGCAGACAGGCACTTGTCTCTGGAGAGTGAGATGTTCAACAACCTTTCTGTCAAGGATGTAGCCACTGCTGAGTATATCTGAGTGGCTTTTGGTCACTCCCTTTGTGTGTAACTTTTGTCTACTGCTGCTCCCTCATGCTGCCTATCTCTACACTTATGTGAATAGTGACAAACATAGCTGAACTCACTTCATTCATGACCTCCACATATTTTTCTGACTTTTTTCTTATCTTACAGGTGATGTTCAAAATGTTTCCCACATTGAAGGCAAGTGGCTCATGCTAACTACCCAAGAGTCTGAGATCTAGGATCATGGTTCAAAGCCAGCCTGGATTAAATAAAACCATGAAATTTCATCTCCAAAATAACCAACCAAATGCAGGGGTGAGGCATGTCTCTATCAGTAAAGCATCAGATGAGCAAGCAAACTTTGTGAGCACAAAGTCTTTGAGTTCAAACTCTAGTACTGGCAGATTGAAAGCTGAAATCGTGTACGACCCAAAACATGCAGCAGCGTGGCTGACAGAACAGGGTCTTCAAGGCATGATCACTATCATTAATTAATAATACAGATGAAAAGAGTTTGTATTCGGACCTTTTTGTTTTTAAAGCATTTTCAGCATTTTTCAGAACTTCCTGTGTGGTTACTTAGCTGTGGGAAAGCTTAGCCCATTTTCCACTGGTGACGTAAATGTTTACAATACCTCCCCAGAGTTTCTTCCTGATGAAGATAATGAACCCAAAAAGCATTTCTCTGTTTGCCTTTCTTCTTCACATTCAGATAGTCACCCAAATACACAGCAGTTTCTTGGGCTGTCCACAATTCAGACTTTTTCGAATATTTTAATAAAAGAGCATCTGAAAATAAAAAAGAAAGATGTCAGATTATGAATAATACTCATAAATTTCTTATGATCTGGGAACCTCGCATTGTTCCGTCAGATCAGAGGGAAACAAATAATTTACCTAATAGACCCCTGACAACATCAGAGATCCTAAGTTACATAGTGAAGCATCTCCCTATAGCTGCTGTACAAAGATGTGAATTCAATTGAAAAAGAAAAAGAGGAGATAGGAAGGAGTGTCTCCATGCTAAAGGAAAGAAGATCATTAAGCAGAAGAACATTTTTTCTAGGGGAAGACCTACATGAACTTTTTTTGGGGGAGTTATACTTCATTATTATTATAAAGGTTTACAGTTACATAACTCAGGTAATGTACCAAAAGGGACATTAATAAAGGGATGTAATTTGGTGCCCAAGTGAAAATTCAGTGAACAAAGACCTCTGGTGTCTGGATTGTGATAGTGAAGGGAAGAATGGGAGACTCAGGAGACAAAATACTTAAAAGACCACCCGCAAGTGTGAGAAGGAAATAGTTGGGTTGGGGAGACAGTGAACAGGATTGAGTGATCAGAAGAAGCTGAGATGGAAATGGAAGGTGAACCGCTTGTCCCCTCCACACTCAGGGAGGGTGGCAAATACAGAGAAAAGACAAGAAAGAGTTCTTTTTTCCACTTGTTCTATTCCCATAACTTCTGGAATTGGTTCCCTCTACTGCGCTTCTCATCCATACATTGACAAACACTAACAGTATATATCAATAGAGCAATTACCTAACTATAAGAAATATGATTTTAAAATTGTAGCACCTTACAGTAGTAGGGGAATGCTACTACTAGGGAATATTAGTTTTCATAGTGGTGACCTGATCTTGTGTTTTGATCTGACGTCAAGGCCATGAGCAAATCGCTGGAGTACTTTGAAGCAGAAGTTTTCAACATTGGATCAGCAAGGATGAGCTCCTAAAATAACTGATGTTGGCATTACTGATCCAGGTCTATTGGATGTGTTCTCTGGGATGAAAGATCTCCAAGGAATTCTCACTTGGTGCTAAAAGTAAGAATTAATACTTAGAGCTGGGAGGTGGTGGCTCACACCGGTAATCCTAGCTACACAGGAGCTGAGATCTAAGAATTGAGATTTGAAGCCAACCCAGTCAGGAAAATCCATGAGACTCTTATCTCCAATTAACCAGCAAAAATCTAGATTGAAACTGGATTCAAGTGGTAGAGCACCAGCCTTGAGCAGAAAATCTCCGGGATAGCACCTAGGCCCTGAGTTCAAGCCCCAGTACCAGCACACACACACACACACACACACACACACACACACACACACACAGAATTACTATTTAGTATCCATTGCTTAGTAATCCATGTAGTTAATTTTTTCTGAGACACACTTTTGAACAATTTTCTTATTTGAATAATTCTGTTACATATGATTCTCTGGGCTTAAAAGAATAACTTGTCCTTCTCCAGCTTCTTCACCACTGAGCTACTGGCTTCAGCCTCCTGATTTTGGTAGAAGTCACAACTGATTGCAACTATAAGAATGCTGTGTTCAGAACATTTGGGTCTTCTCAAAATTTACATGTTGAAATCCTAACCTAAAAGGTAATGGTATTGGGAGGGAGGGCTCTCTGGGAGAGACAAATGCATCATGAGGAAGTCCCCAGCCCCTCCCACCTTGGGAAGATACACAGAAAAGTCTCTATCTATGCACCAGAAGTGGACCCTTACCAGACACTCAAACTTTTTGTCTCTTAGCATTAGACTTCCTAGCATTCTTAGAATTTGTGAGAAACAAATTCCACACATTTATAATCCACCCAGTTAATGATATTTTGCTATAGCATGCCAAACAAACTAAGGCAAGATGTAGCCTGATAGATTCATGGGTTGGCAAGAAATTGCTTAGGGTGGACAAGTATGAAAATCTCTGCCACAGGATGCTATCCTCCTAGAATGAGGGCTGGCGGAGGGGGGGGGGGGGGAAGGGAGAGTGCAAAACAAGTTGGTTAGTTTTGTTCAAATCCCCTGAGATTCCCAGCTCCCTTTCTGTCTAATGTGACCGTATAGAAAACTTCCAATATCTTATGGTGGCCTGAGCCAATCTTTATTCTTGGCAATCATTAGGATCCTTTACACAAAAAGTGGAGGGGGCAGGTAACCTACACTTTTCACTATGTGCTCACAGATAATAGTGTTACTTTCATGAGCTTTAAGTGAGCTATACAAGCTCTTCAGAAGCCCCCAAACATAGATGCTCCATGAAGCCGTGCCACCCAAAAACATGGTACTTACTGTGTGCCCGCTGGAGTTGGCAGGGCTTAAAAACTCCTGTATCCTCCAGTCTCCACAGTAGCCAATCCTGTCTTACTCCTGCCAGCAGTTTTTCAAAGTCATCAGATTGCAGGGTTCGAGCCTCCAGGGTCTCTTCCTTGGTGATTCCTGGCACTGAAACAGAAGAACTTCTACTGGACTTTAGAAAGGACCATGAGTTGTCCCCTTCTGAAGAACCACTGGAAAACGCAGGTGATTTCAGCCACCAGAAAGGGGCTGAGCTGGAGTTCTGGCTGCAGTTGAGCGGGATTACAGCTTCTTTCCCTTCCTCCGTGGTGGTGCAGTCCTCACTGATGCCAGGGAAGGAAGCGTTCCCACTTAGACAGGATTTGAGGGTGTCAGGTCTTGGAGCAGAGAATTGCCTCATCATGAATGGTCTACAAAGTCCATGTTCACCAATGGAGCAGACACCTGTGCTGGCAAGCAGCTGACCCTCCTCATCCTCTGTTGTGGCATCAGGGTCAATTTTCTGATCTTCAACTGAGCCACCATTCTTTCCTGAGTCAAGATTCTGAGCAGGGCAATGAGGACTGAAGGAGCCAGACACCAACCTGCATTGGTTGCCCTGAGCACTGCCCATGACTGCTCGGAAGCCTAAGGACCCATCTTCTGTACATTCAGCTCTTTCTTCTTCCGGGTCAATCCAGGACGGATTCTCTGTAAATAGAGAGCCTTTGAATCTTGCAGTGAGTTCTTTTCCCTTCTCTTCCCTGTGCCAGTTTCTGAAGTCACCATTTGGCTTTGGAAAAACATCAATTTTTTCAAAAGCTTCTTCTTCTTCTTGGACAGATGGGTATCTGGTCAGGTACTTGCACCTGCCATTACCAAGTGAAAGGCAAGAAACGGAAGTGCTTGAAGGTCTGCAGTGAGCTGAAGAACTTCCAGGTCCTTCAGGTCTGACTTCCGGGATACTGTTTTGTCCTGCTTCTAATAATCCAGGGCTAGAGGCCAGACAAGTGTTTGTGGTGTTGCAAGTGTTTGTTGTTGTTGTCAGGGGCATCGGTGTGTGTAGCTGACTCTGAGAAGCCTCTAAATGGTCAACTTTGGTTACCTGGAGAGAGAGATCAGGAGATTGTGGAGACAATAAGTGCATAGGTTTTCTGTCCTTGCCATTCTCCAGCTCCTCAGACAATGCAGTAGAACACTGAGTATCAACAAGATGGTCCTCTTTGCTGCATTCTTGTCTCACGGACTTATCTTCCACTTGGTAATTTACTTCCTCCCAGCTCGTAGAAGAACTAAGCCCGGAGAACTTGCTCCAAGAACTGGAGCTCTGGCTGTCACTCTGGGACTTGTTCAAAACATCTCTCCTCCCATTGCTCCGGTCAGGCGGCTCAGTCTCAGTCTCCATCCCTTGATCCAGGGAGACTCGGAATGCATCAGAATGGGTCCAGTTTCTCCTTTCTGCCCTTCTGAGCCTCTCCCGACCTTCCTCAGCCATTATGGAGGAGTTCATTCCCCTGCTTTCTTGAGAGCATGGGTTGTCTTGTGTCATACTCATTGTATCCATGGATTTTGTTTCTGTTTTTAGAGCAGTGACACAGACTCCTGTTTTTGTGCCTTTCTGTTGGTCTTTCTTGCTTCCACAGCTGCTTTCAAAAACCTCACACACTGAAATATGGTGCTGTGAATAGGCCTCGAGGATTTTTTGGAAATCCACTTGCCCATGCAAGATCGGTTTATCCAATCTACTCTTGAAACTCTCTGGAACATAAGATCTGTCATCTAAATTTGAGAAACTTTGGACATGGAAAAGATCCTTCACCTGGCTGATAGCAGTCATGATTTCCCAAGAGAGGGCTTCTCTGTCCTGACTTCTGGAGGAAGTGCCAAAGAAATACAACTTCCCCATGGCTGTGAGGCAGAGTTCATTCGCAGCACACACGGCCACCGTCTCTCCGTGCAGTCTTCGGTGCACTATGGTGAGACCCAAGGCGGCTTTGATGAAGCTGTGAAGCTCTTGTTTGCCAGTCACTGGCTCATCATGTTTCTTGCTCAGGAGGCCAATCTCAAAGGCCTCTTTGGCTGCACACAGATACGCATTTTTCATGCCTGCAGGGCAGTCACTAGAACTAGCGAATGACAACAAGCACGTGCCACGGATGTTCTAAAGAAAATACCAAATGCAAAATGAGATGTTGAATGGGAAACTGGAAGTGAACCAGGACAAACTTTCCATTGCTAGAGGACAATCCTTAGAAATATTTTAGGAAATGAAACAGCCCACAAATAGTCTAAGGAAGATGAGCAAACACCGAGACCTGTTGAAGAATAGAAAGAATGGCCTGGAATGTAAGTACTTAGTTAATACGAATGGGTAAGAAATTAGCTTTAGCTACCATCTAGCTTATGATGTGTGTGTGTGTGTGTGTGTGTGTGTGCATGCACCAGTCTTGAACTTGAACTCAGGAACTGGACATTGTCCCTGAGCATTTTTGCTCATGGCTAACAGCATTCTACCACTTGAGTCACAGCTGTAATTCTGGATCTTTGGTGGTTAATTGGATACAAGAGTCTCATGGACTCTCCTGCCCAGGCTGGCTTTGAGTCATGATCTTTAGATCCCAGTCTCCTGAGAAGCTAGGATTACAGGTGTGAGCCATCATTGACTGACTCCTGATGTTTTTTGATTAAAGATGGTGGATTTGTGGGCATTACTGAGGTTTGCGCGTGCATATTTTTGATCCTAGGTTGGTTGACTTTGTAGACATAGAACCTCTGGATGTGGAAGGCTAATGGTATTTCAAAATAAAAGAGTTCTCAGTGTACCAGTCTCAGAGATTTGCTGTTAATAGATCTAGGGTAGAGTCTAGGAATGTGTATTTTGAAAAGGCTCTTTGGGCTATTATCTGTGTTGCCAGGCTTGAGAACCATTGTTCTAGAACAAGCAACATTATACACTTGGGCTGAATTAGCTACCAAAAAGACATGGCCATTCTGACTGTCTGCTCTTTTCTCCAGGTTGAGTCTTAGCACAATCGCCAACCATGAGGTCCAAATCTCCTTTAGAGTGACACCTTTCCCTCCCCCTGGCTGCCTGCTAGAGTTCCCAGGGGCTGGGGCCCCAGGAGAGCCGCAGTCTATTTACCACAGCTGTGAGCACGAACAGAGGTGTGTAGGCGCTGAAGGCAGCTGCTAGCTTGCAGGCTTCTGCAGCCGACAGCAATTGGTGATCAAACTCCTTGAGCAAGCCCTGCGAGACACAGAAGAAAGGAATCAGCAATTATTACTTATCAATGAACAAAATCGTGTGATGAAATGTCTTTGTTTACTTGTCAAGATTCTGAAGGATTCCTTACTCCTCACTGGAAACCTGTCAGAAAACACTAAGCAAGACTAAGTGGGTCTTGATTAAAAACTCCAGAACACTGACTATTCTTTCTCCCAGCATCTCCCTCCCACCTGCATCCTCCATCTACATTCTAAAGAGGGCTACTATGTGCAAAGTAAGCCAGACAGGCTTCTGGCTTCTCTGAAAAATGTGGTACTCTTGGTTCTCACGACATTTTGCAACGCCAATCAACTATTTCAGTGTTATTCTTGAGGATTCGTTCATTTAGTCAGTATCTCCATGGGACAGGCACTGTTGTAGACTCTGAGATCAGGAGATGGACAGTGAGCTTACTATGTTGACAGAGAGAGACTGTTACTCACAAAGTAAGTAAAATAGATAGTATCAAGTGGTGGTAAGTGTTCTGGGGGAAAATAAAGTGGAAAAGGGATTCAAGAGGTACTGGAAATTTGTGACTGATTAATTAATATTAATGTGGTACCAGGGCTCCAGTCAGAAGCTTGCTTGGCTTATAAGCCCTCCCAACTGGCATTCTACCATTTGAGCCCTACCTCCAGTCTAATGTGTTCTTGACTTTTCTGCCTGGGATGGCTTCGAACTGTCATCCTCCAGGTCTCAACCTCCTGAGTAGATAGGACTCAGGTGTGAATCACTAGTGTCTAACTTAAAAATCTCTAATTCTGAACCATCATCAGTAACAAGTTCACTGAACAAAGGACATAACTTTTTTGTTTTCATTTGAGAATAGAAATAGTAACTCCATGAGATTCATATGACTAAGAGCAAGGTGTGCTTGTTACACTAATGTGGAGTAGGTTACTACTTTTGGGTATTTAATAAAGGGGCAGTAGATATGATATGAAAAGAATCTCAGTTTCAATGCTGCCTGGACAGAGTTCAATGTTATTGTCAATGCTCCAGGTTCTGCTTTGAGATTTTTCTCCTACTAGCTGGGAAAACTAGAGGTTTGTTAGTTTTCTAGACCATGGATGACATTTTTTGTAAGGTAGGAATGATACATTCTGTTCTATCTTATAAGGTATGTGTGGATAGCCACATGGTTTTTGAGCAGTAGGATAATAAATAAATACTCATAGTCATTACTATTAAGGGTAAGAATATTGGAATAAATGACTGATGCATGATTTGAATAGATGGTAAAGGGTTTCAAAATTCCTCTATCATCAAGATGGCCCAAGTTTGGATGCTGAATTTTGCGATCATTTGAAAAGAAATAAACGGAGCTCAAAATCACTTTGATGATATTCATTCATTCACTAGGACTTTTTCAAGTGTCCGCTGTGTGACTGATTTTCTACTAGGTGCTAGATAGGTTTAGTTACATTATTCTAGGCGAGCTTATGTGTTCCCTACCCCCACTCTCCTGGGAAAGTAATTGACTAACCAGCACCAAAAGTAATGTTGACAGTTGTATAAAGGAACAGTACGAATTGCTTTGTCACCATTATGAACCATATATTTGACAAACAATGACTACCAGGTTAATCCGTGGATTGTTTTTAAACCTTTCATAATCATTCTTGCTCATGGAAACAAAGATGTCTGCCAAGATACCAAGGGATGTGGAGATGCCCTGTAAGGGAAAACAAACGGATCAGACTAGAATTCAGAGTTGACTATTGCTCTTATTTATGGCCGAAAGGCAATGATTAACCTTCCACCTGAACCACTTGCCTATTACCCTATTATTGCTATGATCTGGAAAATGCTTTAGAACTGATGTCACTGGCTTATGGACCAACTGGAAACAATGATATTTCTTAGTTGGGTTTCATTAAGTCTACACTAACTGGTCCATACTGCTAAGGATGAATAATGGGCCTAAGAAAGAAAGCTCATATTCCATTCAATCCATGTTGTAGACAGAACACTGCTGACACAGCTCTAAGAAGTGGAATAAATATCCTGCAGCTTCAGACAATGAGGAGAATATTCCCATAAAATTACAGAGAATGAAAATGCCCAGTCGGAAAGCCAAGGTTTGCCTTTTGATTTCTTAAAGATGCTACATCAACTATTAACTTAAGAAGAACAATTGTCCATATACAGCATCATGCTCAACCCAACTTTGCTCTAGAATTAGGGGAAGGCTAAATATATGATAAGGAAAATAGTGAATGAAGCAGAAGAGGCAAATACATGATTATAGAAACACTGGGTATATGACGAGTGTAACTGTGAGTCAGGAAGAATGAGACAAAAGGAAGTTAATGTATTTTCCTGGTCCTATGTTCATGAAGTAAATAAAAATAGGAACATGAAATTGATAAATGGTCAACTTAACTGTTTTATTAGGAGATAATCACCTAAGGATAAATGTGGGAAAGTAGAAAAAAGACACACTAGACATACAACCTTTTTATCTGGCTGAGGAAGAGTCAAGTATCCTGCGATTGAGGCCCATATTAACTCTGCCGCTTCATACCACATGCCTAAAATCAATCAAACAAAACACAATATGGGACAGAGAGAAAGCAGCTAATGTCTATAACGTCTGTGTTAGAAAATAATCTTGCTGGTGGCTCAGATCTGTGATCCATGCCACACAATGAGGCTGTGATCTGAGGATTCAAGTTCAAAGCCAGTCCAAGGCAGATAAATCGAAGACGCTTATCTCTAATTAACTAGCTAAAATCTGGAAGTGGAGCTGTGATAGACCTCCTGAGTTCAAGCCCCCAGTATCATCACACACAAGAGGGAAGAAAGAGAATGAAAAGAAAAAATAGAAAAGAAACAGAAAAAGCTGGGCACTAGTGGCTCATGCTTGTAATCCTAGCTACTCAGGAGACTGAGATCTGAGGATCCTGGACAAAGCCAGCCCGGGCAGGAAAGTCCATTAGACTCTTATCTCCAATAAATCACCAGAAAACTGAAAGTGTTGCTGTGGCTCAAATGGTAGAGCACTCACTTTGAGCTTAAGAATTCAGGGACAGTGCCCAGGCCCTGAATTCAAGCCCCAAGACTGACAAAAAAACAAAAACAAAAGGTTTATTGCATCTTGTTAAGAAAACTCAGGGCTGACTGGAGGAAAACTAGGAGGTGGACACAGAACTAGAGGGAATCAGGGAATAACATACAACAGCTGGATCCATCAGCTGCACTGGACATTGATCAAAATGAACTAAGCAACTCAATGGCAGCGATGGAAGGGAGGGAACAAGTGGGAAAGAGGGAACAGCTGACGCTATGCAAAACAAAAGAAATGTACATATCACCCAATGTGGAAGAAATTTAACGGTATTGTCAAAGCTCATAGAGCTCATAAACTTTATAGACCACGATAGATAATTTGCCCCATGAAAGTTAGAATGTGTTTGTGACTTTAACCAAGCATCACTATCCCACAATACTGTGAAATTTGGGAAATTATGTAATCACTTAATCACAATAAAGAATTTGAAAAAAAAAAAGAAAACTCAGGGCTGGATTACATTGACACAATTTGTTTTTTCAGTTGTTTCAATACTGATAATTTTTTTCCATTTCACTGGTGAATAGTTAAGAATTATTCTAAAATTTGCATATAATATACTATCATAGTATATATAGTTATTTTCATGTTTTAGAAGACATCTCTTAAAAATTTCAATTCTGTTAGTTTGCATAATTATGGCTTGTAAATTTTGCTTGAAAAATTTGTGACTACCCTAAGGAGTGAACAAGTGAGAGGTTTTTTTCTGTTTTTTTTTTTTGGGTCCGGTCGTGGGGCCTGAACTCTGGGCCTGGGTGCTGTCCCTCAGCTCTTCAGCTCAAGGCTAGTGCTCTACCACTTGAGCCACAGCGCCACTTCTGGCTTTTTTCTTTTTGCTTATGTGGTGCTGAGGAATCGAACCCAGGGCCTCAGGCATGCAAGGCAAGCGCTCTACCACTGAGCCACCTTCCCAGGCCTAGGTTTTGATGAGTTTAGAAGCAAGTGCTACTAGCAGCTAGAGGCATGCATCAAGATGAAAACTCAAACCTCATTATCATTATCACAAAAACTAGAGAAAGAGAAGCAGTTAATATATATTCATATACATTATATATTAAATAAATATTCTATATTATATATAACATGTATATATAATATAATGTCTATATAATTCAACTTCTTGCAAAGCTGAGTCAGAGGTTAAGAATAATACTGAGGGACCTGAGGTTAACTGTTACAATAAACAACAGTAAATTTCTCTAATGAAGCTAGAGAGAATTTTTAAATTGTATTAATATCTATCTATCTATCTATCTATCATTAATTTCTTAATTATTAGTATGGCCTTGCTGTGGCTGCTCCCTCTCATCTTGAACTTCTGGACCCAGAGGGTCCAGTCTCCCAACTAGCAGAATAAGCACCACATCCAGCTCCGCTCCTAGAATCCTAAATGTTATTCTCTCTCCAGTGAGGAAACTAAAAGAAGTGAGTATCAACAATTTAACCAGATGCAGTAAGAAAATTCCGTAGTGAAGTCTTGGAGCCAGACTCTGTAAGTGCACCGTTACTGGAGGGGAGGGTTGGAGTGAGTACCTAGCTTTTGCAGAATTTGCCCTCTGATTTGTATGCAGACGGACTGAACCAGGATCTTGTCACTTTCTTTTCTGTACTGCCAGGTACCTAAAAGAAAAAAAAGGCAGGGTGGGGGTGGTGGGGTGTGGGGGTAGGGTGAAGATGCCTGGAGTTACTAAGGAAATAATCTGGTAAACCAAACCATATATACATATATATATGTATATGTATATACATACATATATCCATATATATGTATATAATATCATAAATCACATATGTGTACATATATATGTACATATATATGATATTAGTAATTATTACGATCCTTTCTTTTCCCTCCCAATACTGAGTTTGATCTCAGGATCAAACTCACATCACTTGCTTGCTCATGGGTGGTGATCTACTACTTGAGCTACACTTCCAGCCCTAGATTTTTGCTAGTTATTTTGGAGATGAAGTCTTAGAAACTTTTCTGCTCAGCCTGGCCTTGACCCATGATCCTCTATATCATGGTTCTGAGTAACTAGAATTACAGACTCAAGCCTTGTATTTGGAATCAGAGAAACAGAAACACAGATGTTTGACCAAAAGTCACCTAACTCATCAGTACAAAGCCAGTTCTACGTAGTTCTGTGAACATCTAGTGTAGAATAAGGATTAGGTCATTATGCTGTGATTAAATTAGAAAGGAGCCGGCTGCTGGTGGCTCACGCCTGTAATCCTAGCTACTCAGGAGGCTGAGATCTGAGGATGGTGGTTCAAAGCCAGCCTGGGTAGGAAAGTCCATGAGACTCTTATCTTCAATTAATCACCAGAAAACCAGAAGTAGATCTGTGGCTTAAAGTGGTAGATTGCTAGCCTTGAGCAAAAGAGTTCAGGGACAGTACCCAGGCCCCGAGTTCAAGCCCCATGACTGACAAGAAATAATATATATATGTATATATATATATATGCACACACACATATATTAGAATCTGATAGGACTGGGGATAAATCACTGTGAGGATTGATGTTCTCACCTGTTGCCCCATTGTTGCTTATGAGACTGCTGAGGATATATTCTGCTTTTAAAAGTTTTCCTGAAAAACAGAGGTCAATTAAGAAACAAAGGACTTCCACTCATCTGGTCGAATCACTACTAAATAACCCCATGGTGCTGATCACTGTATGGTATATATGTGAACACCAGAGGGGAACCAGGAAGACGATATAGAACTAGAGGGAATCAGGGAAAAACACACAACAGCGGGACCCATCAGCTGCACTGGACATTGACCAAAATGAACTAAGCAACTCAATGGCAGCGATGGGAGGGAGGGAGCAAGTGGGAAAGAGGGAACAGCTGATGCTATGCAAAACAAAAGAAATGTACATCTCACCCGATGTGGGAGAAATAACTGTATTGCAAAGCTCATAGAACTCATAAATGTTATAGAACGTGATAGACAATTTGCTCCAGGAAAGTTAGAATGTGTTTGTGACTTTAACTGAGCATCATGATCCCACAATACTGTGAAATTTGGGAAATTATGTAATCACTTAATCACAATAAAAAATTTGAAAAAAAAACAAGAGATCAAATGCCATGCAATCATTTCTGAACATGCATTTTTCATATTTATTTACTTACTTATTTTTTTAAGATTTATTTTTGGTGTTTTTGAGACAGGTTCTTACCAAGCTGGTCTGCAGCTTGTAATTATTCTGCCTCTGCCCCTGAGTACTGAAATTAGAGGCACATACCATCAGGCCTCTACAAATAGTTTCTGTTCTAAGATAGATGTATTCTAACAAAAATCATAACTTTCCTTGGAAATATTCTGTTTTAAAAACTATCAACAGGGGCTGGGAAGGTGGCTCAGTGGTAGAGCGCTTGCCTTGCATGCTCGAGGCCCTGGGTTCGATTCCTCAGCACCACATAAGCAAAAAGAAAAAAGCCGGAAGTGGCGCTGTGGCTCAAGTGGTAGAGCGCTAGCCTTGAGCTGAAGAGCTGAGGGACAGCGCCCAGGCCCTGAGTTCAGGCCCCACGACCGGACCCAAAAAAAAAAAAAACCAAAAAAAAAAACTATCAACGGTCCTATGTAAAACTGAAAGAGATGATATTTTCAGGAGATGGCAAGGTAAGCATCTACAAAGTATCTGAAATGGCAGTTTATTTTATATACAGACATGCATACATACATATATAATACTTGTATATATGTGTGCGTGTGTATGCATGTATCTAGACACCATACTAGTAGAGCAAGGGTAGCAAGAGGCTATGTGCAGAGTTGTCCACAACCAGGTTTCTTTACAGAATTATCACAAAGGAATTTAGGAAACAAGTGTGGGGAAGCTTAGAGTTAAAAAACAAAAAGCAAAACCTTTTCACTCATTTTTAAGCACCTGAACTTAATAGGAAGGCTTTGGCAATGGACAGTTGTCTTCCACAGGCAGAAAATCCAATCACTAGCTCTCTTGATGAGTGACTGAAATTCTTTTAACCCAGCCGGCCGGGTGCTTCTAAGGCTTCATGATCTCACTGCTCCAGTGCTCTTGGACCTCATCTCTACATCATCTACCACTTAAGCCACTGTTCCCCTTTCATCTTTACATGGTTAATGGTTAATTGCAGATAAGAGTCTCATCCACTTTCCTGTGCTGACTGGCTATGAACCTTAAAATTCTCAGATCTCAGCCTCCTGAGTAAGATAGGATTACAGGCATGAGGTACTTACTGGTGCCCAGGTTCCAAAATTTCTTTGAAGGCCTTCCCTGAGCACACTATTTCCACTTGCAAAGATAAATTAGCTGTGTAGATGGGACTTTCTAAAATGATTGTTAGGCTCTTTTCCATCTTTTGCAATGTGACTTTGCTATTCTTTTATAAAGAGGTGGAGTTTGGAGTGTATTTCTCCTCTTCTTGAACTTGAACTAGTCCCATGACCTGTTTATACCAACATTATGTGGTAGAGGTGACACTATGTATTTTATCCAGTTTGAGCACGTAAAGGTTGATTTTTCTGGGTTAAATCTGCTCAACCCTGGTCCATCTGAAATGTATTCCTGCAACAGGTTTAACAGCAGGGGAGAGAAGCAGGTAAAGAGAATGGTGAGAAAGAATAGAGATATAGCTCATGCTAATAGCTTGACTGCTAGCTTACACAGACCATGAGTTTGAGTCCCAGCTCTGCAGGAAAAAAAGGGAAAAGACAGAGAAAGAATAAAGCAGATGAAAATAGGAAGGAGAAGTTAAAAAGTTCAAAGAGAGGGGCTGGGAAGGTGGCTCAGTGGTAGAGCGCTTGCCTTGCATGCCTAAGGCCCTGGGTTCGATTCCTCAGCACCACATAAGCAAAAAGAAAAAAGCTGGAAGTGGCGCTGTGGCTCAAGTGGTAGAGCGCTAGCCTTGAGCTGAAGAGCTGAGGGACAGCGCCCAGGCCCAGAGTTCAGGCCCCACGACTGGACCCCCCCCCCCCAAAAAAAAAGTTCAAAGAGAATGAAAAACCCATATAATCACAATAACACTTCTAAGAGGAAGTAGATTCAGAGCTGGGGAAACACACTTAGGAAAAACTCTAACATTCAAGAAACTTACCTAACCTGAAGGAGGGGGAAAACATTCAATCTACCTTTAGACACACTTTGGTGAAACTATTAAAAAGAACCCACAGTAAGAAACTCTTAAAGGAAATAAAGACAGCATATTAACACAGGAACTATATGTAGCCTGAGAAAAAGCATTTTTAAAAATTAGTACTAGCATCCCACTATGCAACACCTGAAAAACAGGCTTTAGGAATCAAAAAACAGGTCTTTTTTTTTGTTGTTGTTGCATTCTAAGGTATTTTGGATTGTGGCAAGGGTGCAGGCAGGTCATAGTTAGATTGATAGGTAGCTGGCCATTGCCAAAATAATCTTCCATTTGAAGCTAATAAGAAATACTTTAGTATTGCATTTTTACATCTTTCTTTCTCTTTCTTTTCTTTTCTTTCTTTCTCTCCTTTCTGTCTTTTGTCCTTTCTTTCTTTTTTGTTGAGAGACCAGAACTTAAATTCCATACCTGATGCTTTGCTCATTGGCTGGCCCTCTACCCACTGAGCCACATCTCCATCCTCTTCACTTTTTGTCTTTTTAGTTTCATTTTGCTCATGAGTTATTTTGTTGTATTCATGCCAGTGGTAAGGTTTCCTTGGCAGTGAGGAGCTCTTCTCGGCACTCAAAACTGCCAGAACGTCCTTCTCCCTTTTCCGGCTCTTTCTCTTGGGTGGCTACATTCTTGTATCTTACAAAAAGAACTTACATGCTCTACCTGTTTTGTGGGTAATGTCTTCCAATTACGACAACTTTTGCAAAAAGATATTGATTTTCACCTCAATTGCTCTGTCGCTTTCAATATGTATGTGTAAGTTTGCATATGTATATGTATATATATATTTACAAGTTAAAAAACATGAGTGTCAGATTGTCTTTTTTAGGGTGTCCTACATGGTGAGAAACAGTGGACTTCTGGCCCTAGGACTCCCTCTTTGCACAAGGAGTCTATTTTCCTGTTCCTTTCATAGTTTCTTCTGTTTTCAAATAACTCTGTCTGCTTTAAACACTTTTCTGCCCTTTTAATCTCTGGTTGGTGGAGAAAAGGAATCCGAGCCCTAGACAGCAGCCATAGTAAACCTGTTTATCCATGGCGAGATGGACTGCCCTCTTCTTTTACCATGAACGCTCCTCCTGACGCTTTCTAATACACTTCCTCTCTCTACTTCAAGGCTTCCAAAGGCTGAGATGGAGCCCCTATTTCCATGTAACCTCTTCCTATACCCTCATGCTTCCTCCCATGGTCCCCATCCTCTCCTCCCTCTCTGAATCTACTTGGAGGCTCTAGATAAGATTTTTGGACAGCAGTTTACATATGGAAGACTTAACTCTGAGGCTGGGATACTTGTGAAGAGCTCCAACTGTTGGGACATGAGAATCGGGACCTGTGCCTTTCAGCATGGTGCTGTGAGCAGAGGACCTCACCATTCCTGATGATACTGTGGCTTGCTCCTTCTCAGAGGGAAAAACACTCTACCATCTTGGCTGGAGACAGGAGGGAAAGAATCTGAGCAAGTGCATTTAGTGGTGTGAAAATACAGTGATTGTGGTCCACGTTCTTCTTTCTTTGTGTTTGTGCCAGTGCTGGGGCTTAAACCCAGAGCCTTGTGCTCTTCTTTAGATTTCTGCTCTACCACTTGAGCCACACCTCCACTTCTGACTATTTTTTGCTGGTTAATTGGAGAGAAGAGTCTAACAGACTTTCCTGCCTGGGTTAGTTTTGAACCTTAATCTCTCAAATCTCAGACTCCTGAGTAGTGAGGATGACAAGTGTGAACCTGGCTTCAAATTCTTGCTCAAAACCAACACTAGCCCACCATGGTGCTGCAGCCCTCATCTGTGTCACCCCTAGAATTTGTCTCTTATGCCATTGTCCTCCGACACCACCAGGTGCATTTGTTGTTAGGTTACTTCATGCCTCAAACATCTTTGCTGCTCTCAGGAACATCTGGAACAAAATATTTTCTTTCTCAGTTCAATTCTGTCTCTGGAGTTGCACTAGAAAAGCCAATACTAAGACATGAGAACAATTGATACGCATTCGCAAGAACCTAAAAGGAAGTGAACTTGGGCTCTTAAGATAATTTCCAGGTTTGGAGCTATGGCTCAGTTGGTAGAGTGCTTGCCTGTAAAGCATCAGGTATTGAGTTTAAGTCCCAGTCTGGGGCCTAAACAGTAAAAAGCTTTCACAAACCCATTTTTTCCATGTCCTTTTCCTTCCTTCCTTCCTTCCTTCCTTCCTTCCTTCCTTCCTTCCTTCCTTCCTTCCTTTCTTTCTTTCCTTCCTTCCTTTCCTTTCTTTTCTTTCTTTTCTTTTCTTTCTTTCTTTCTTTCTTTTCTTTCTTTCTTTCTTTCTTTCTTTCTTTCTTTCTTTCTTTCTTTCTTTCTTTCTTTCTTTCTTTCTTTCTTTCTTTCTTCTTTCTTTCTTTCTTTCATGTTGGTCATGGGGCTTGAATTCTGGGCCTGGGCACTGTCTCTCAGCTCTTCAGCTCAAGGCTAGCACTCTACCATTTGAGCTACAGCACCACTTCCTGTTTTCTGTTGTTTATTGGAGATAAGAGTTTCATGGACTTTCCTGCCCAGGCTAGCTTTGAACCGTGATCCTCAGAGCTCAGCCTCCTAAGTAGCTAGGATTACAGGCGTGAGCCACCGGCACCCGGCTTTCCATGTCTTTTTCTTTCTGTGTCTTCCTCTCTTTATTCAGCAGCTCAGTGTAGTCGCTACACTCCTTTTCAAAGGAAATGAAGAACATTTAACGTCTTACAGACCAGAATATTAAAATAATAGCAGTAACTAACATCAAGCAATAGAAAAAAGAGCTTCAGTTTTGTGTTTGGGAGTGGGAAGAGGCCTTTACTTCTGGAAATGAGAACAGCAAAGCAGGCTGCATTTCTAAATCCAATGGGTACTGGTGATTTAAGTAATTCTGGAATTCTTTGCAGGTGGACTTGGCTGTGACACATCACCGGCCCCCTCTCCCCTCGAAGCCCCCTACTTTCAGCTCTCCATCTTAAGTTAGACTGTCAGCCTCATTTTTCATCTCATTCAATGTGACAGGAGGGAAAGAAAAAGATACTTTCAGACCTAATCAGGTACTGTACCGGTGTTGTGAATGACAAGGAAAAAAAAAAATACCAACCCTCAAATTGCTTCAGTGGGTTTGTTAGCTTCATTGTTAGCTTAGTCAAGTGGCCCTACAGAAAGAAGACAGGAGAGCTAAGAGAAAATACTAGAATTCTAATCTGCTTTTTAAAGGCTCTTGGTCAGAAGTATAGCAATTCAGATACCCCTGTTTGAAAGCAGCAGGATAGATTTGTTAGGGGACAAAAGCTCCAATTAGTATTTTCCACACCCTTTCACAATTTTCTTCCCTGCTTTTGGCTCTGAAACCCTTTATGCCAGGGCCTTTGTGCCGGCAGAGAGGCGGGTGCAAAGGCTGGCGCGGCGGGAGAGACGCGGGGCAGAGGTGGCACGCAGGCCCCAGTGCCCTTGGGCGCCTGCAGAGTTCAAGTAGCTCTGCAGCCAGGGGCAGATGAGGACCAGACGACCCAGGACACAGAACACAGCCTACCTGAGTTGACGGATATCCTGGCCTGGCGAATAACCACCTGAGGGGCGATGGGTGTGGCTGGCTGCAGCTTATGCAGGCCCTTGGCCACCTGCAGGAGTTTTCCAGAAACATCGAGTCCATACAGGAACCTGTCCATCAAGAAGACGATGGCCGAGGCCACTGCACAGTCCTGAGCCACTATGGAGGCTCGCAAGGCCGCCTGGAGATGCGAAATAGAGCAGACAAAGAAACATAGCCAGGACCCTAAAATAAGACCTGCCCCCCACACCCTGCCCCCATCTCGGGGCTATTAATTAAAACAACAGCCCAGGGGGAGTTCTCAAGATGGCGACGGGGCAGTAGGGAAACGCCACAGCTCTCTCCAACCAAAAAGAGAGTTCGAGTTCCAACCTTTAATCTCCCCAAGAGACCGACAACAACAAAAAGACGAACACTCAGAGAAAAACCAGAGGTGGAAAATAACAAAAAAAGAAAGAGAGGAAAAGAAGAATTTCAGAACAGAGAAGAGCGAAGACCCCTCCCCCAACCTTTACTGGCCGCGCGGCAGTGCGCCAAGCCGCCGGCCAGCCGGCCCGGCAGGGGCTGCCGGAGCCACAGAGACACAGGGGGCTGCTTGCAGATCACCAGGTACCGGATTGCAGAACAGCAGATCGCCAGGAACAGAGAAACCTACCAGCCGGGAGTCTCCAGGAGGATCCCACCCCACCCATCACTCTCCACCGGAGCGGAGAGGCTCCATCCCGCCAAAGCCGCCCGGCACCAGCAGCGCCACAAAGGGACCTGTCGCGATCGCAACGACCCGGCGGGGGGCCGCCCAACCCAGCCCGCAACCACCCCAACTGAACTCGGACTGCAACAACAACTGACGGACTGCAACAACAACTGACGACCTACAGGGTGAGTACCCATCAGGGGACAGGGAATCCATCAAGGGAGACCAGAGCTGGAGGGAATCCCCAGACCCTGACCTAGACTCCCTACCCCAACACCCGGACCACAGGACCCACTAAAACTGGGAACTGTTCGAGAGCCCCACCAGCCGGTGGAGCACACTCTGCTGGCCAGGCCAGAGCAAGAGCGCCCCGGGAAGGGAGCTTAAATGCTCAAGCCAGGAACAGTGCCCCTGGGTCAAGACTACCAACAGTAGAAGAAATTTGAACTGTGTCCTCCAGGCTGCATAACCAAGGTGGTATACACATTAGCACAGGCCTAACGAGCGCGCTCCAGGCTGGGGCCGGAACCAGGCCAGGGGACCGGCGCCTGAACAAAGCAAAAAGGGTCAGAAGTGGGGCTGTGGCTCAAATGGTAGGGTGCCAGCCCTGAGCTGAAGAGCTGAGGGACAGCACCCAAACCTAGAGTTCAAGCCCACAACCAGCCCAAAACAAACAAAAACACATCAGGAGCCCATAGCAGACTCCAGTATTTGGGAGAGTGCATCCAGAGCATCTGATCTTCCCAAGAGCACCCGCAGGAGCAAACACAAGCAGTCTAGGCTGCTCAACCCTTCCAAAGGCGGGAATTGCTACAGCAGAGAGCTGAGAATCCTAAGTGAATAGCAGCTGGAAATAGGCTCCCAACAGAATCCAGATCAGACACAGACTCTCTCTACCAATAGAGAATCAGCAACCAAGCAAAGACAGACACACCAAAACAAGATTGAAGAGCAGTCTCCTGAACCCCCATGCGAAAATCACAGAGAAAAATCACAAGGTTTACCACTACCCAGGACAGCAAGCTCACCTCAAAAGCCAGCAGCCACGCAGGGGAGAGCCCCAGTGGGAGCAAAGCAGGAATGGAAGACAAAAACTACATCCAAGGGTTGCTGGAGGCAATGACTCAAGAAATAAAGCGAGAAATGGATCAGAAATTGAAAGAGCACAAGGATGAACTATCAAAAGATATACAGGATATCAAACAAAAATTGGATGCAAAAATAGAAGCTGCACAAACCTCAGTAAGAAGTGAGATAAACGCCAAATTAGAGGTAATGCATACTGATATCACCTCATTGAGAGGTGAGATCAGTACTCTGAGAACCAACATTGAATCCATAAAGGGATCCATTTCCATCATGCAAACCACAATAGAAGCCACGGTCAACAGAGTGAATGAAATGGAAGGTAGAGTGTCAGATACAGAAGACAGAATACACCAACTGGACCAAAAAGTGACAGATATGGAAAAATCACTCAAATTAAACCAAAGGGAAATTCAAGAGCAAGCAGATAATGCTAAAAAATTTAACCTTCGCATAATCGGAGTGGACGAAGGTGAGGAATTCCAGAGCAAGGGAATGCAACACCTATTTAACAAGATAGTCAATGAAAATTTTCCCCACCTCAAAAACGACCATCTTAACTACATCACAAAAGCTTATCGAACACCCAACAAGCAAGATCCCAGGAGAAACACTTCTAGGCACATAATAGTAACAATGATGGATCTGAATAATAAGGAAACAATCCTGCATGCAGCAAAAATGAAGAAGGAGCTATACTACAACGGGAAAAAAATTAGAATCACTGCAGATCTCTCCACACAAACAATGAATGCAAGAAAAGCCTGGGAAAGCACCATACGAGCCCTGAGAGCCAATAACTGCCAACCCAGACTGATATACCCGGCAAAGCTAGCATTCACATTCGATGGAGAACTGAAAACTTTTAATAGCAAAGAAAAACTAAATGAATACATAAACATTAAGCCAGCATTACAAAGAATTCTAAGAGGGGGGACACAACCTGAAGAAAGCAACCAGGAACTGGGACCTGCCCCAAACAGGCATTACTCAAAGTCTAACTGAGCAAGCACAGGAGGAAAGGAAAGAAGAAAAACTTAGGAAAACGGAATGGCAGGGACAACAATGCATCTCTCTATACTTTCTCTTAATATAAATGGGCTGAATTCGCCAATTAAAAGAAAACGAACTGAGGACTGGATCAGAAAACAAGACCCATCCATCTGTTGCCTTCAGGAGACCCACCTCTCAGCCAAACATACAAACAAACTCAGAGTGAAGGGGTGGAAAAGGATCTACCAATCAAATTCCCCCAATAAGAAAGCAGGTGTAGCTATCCTGATATCTGACAAAATAAACTTTTCATTAAAATCAGTACAGAAAGACAAGGACGGACATTACATATTAATAAAGGGAACAATCCAAGAGGAGGATATAACCATCATCAACTTATATGCCCCAAATATCGGTGCACCCAGATATGTTAAACAAATGCTCTCAAACTTACAGAATAAAATAGATCCCAATACGATAATACTAGGAGACTTTAACACGCCACTCTCACCAAAGGACAGGTCTACCAACCAGAGGATTGGCAAAGAAGCTACCGAATTAAGTGAGGCCATACTTCAAGCGGAATTAACTGACATCTACCGAGTATTTCACCCTAAAACAACACAGTACACATTCTTCTCAGCAGCTCATGGAACTTTCTCCAAAATAGACCATATCATAGTTCATTCAAGGAACTTAAGCAAATACAAAGGGATCGACATAATCCCCTGTATCCTATCTGACCACAGTGGAATCAAGCTAGCTCTCAATAACAAAGCATACCGCAGAAATTTCTCTAATACATGGAAATTGAACAGCACACTCCTTAACAAGGCCTGGGTAACAGAAGAGATCCGAGAAGAAATAAAGCATTTCCTAGAACTCAATGAAAATGAAAACACCTCACAAAGAAACTTGTGGGACACAGCAAAAGCAGTCCTGAGGGGCAAATTTATTGCCCTCAGTGCCCACATCAAGAGAATGGAGACAGACCAAGTAAATAATCTCATGTTGCAACTAAAACAGCTAGAAAAACAAGAAAAAATGGGACCTAAAGCTACTAGACGAAGCCAGATAACCAAATTGAGAGCAGAGATTAACCAATTAGAAAATCAGAAAACCATAACCAAAATAAACCAAACAAAAAGCTGGTTCTTTGAAAAAATAAACAAAATTGACGGCCCGTTGGCAAGATTAATTAAAAAAAGAAGAGAGGAAACCCATATTAATAGGATTAGGGATGCCACGGGAAACATCACAACACGTACCCAAGATATCCAAACAATTCTAACAGACTACTTTCAAAAGCTATACTCTCTAAAGGAAGAAAATCTGGCGGAAATGGATGCATTTTTAGAGAAATACAAGTTACCCAAACTGAGCAAAGAAGAAGTTAACCAATTAAATAAGCCAATATCCTATAATGAGATACAGGAAGCTATCAAAAGTCTTCCAACAAAAAAAAGCCCAGGACCAGATGGATTCACAGCAGAATTCTATAAGACCTTTAAAGAAGAACTAATACCCATACTCCTCAAGCTCTTCAGAGAAACAGAGAAGGAGGGAGCTATCCCAAACTCATTCTACGAAGCCAATATCACACTCATCCCCAAACCAGGCAAAGACCCAACCAAAAAGGAGAATTACAGGCCAATCTCCTTGATGAACACAGATGCAAAGATCCTTAACAAGATTCTAGCTAACAGAATCCAGAAACACATAAAAAAAATAATACACTATGATCAGGTAGGCTTCATCCCAGAGACACAGGGATGGTTTAACATACGTAAGTCAATAAATGTAATCCAGCATATCAACAGAGCCAAGGTCAAGAATCACATGATTATCGCCACAGATGCAGAAAAGGCCTTTGATAAAATTCAACATTCATTCATGCTAAAAGCTCTGGAGAAAATAGGAATAGAAGGAACATTTCTAAAAACAATAAAAGCCATTTATGACAGACCAATAGCCAATATTATACTTAATGGGGAAAAGCTACAACCAATCCTCCTAAAAACAGGAACAAGGCAAGGATGTCCACTGTCTCCACTCCTCTTCAACATAGTCCTAGAACCCTTAGCCAGGGCAATAAGGCAAGAAAAAGACATTAAAGGGATCCGCATAGGGAAAGAAGAAGTGAAACTATCCCTTTTTGCAGACGACATGATACTATACCTCCACGATCCCAAAAACTCCATCCCCAAACTTTTAGAAATCATAAGTCACTTCGGCAAAATAGCAGGATACAAAATAAACCCACAAAAATCAGTTGCCTTCCTATACACTGATAACGCACAGGAAGAGAGGGAAATAAAGGGAGCAACCCCATTCACAATAACCTCCCAAAAAATAAAATATTTAGGAATTAACCTAACCAAAGATGTAAAAGAACTATTTAATGAGAA